CTCTTTTTTTTAAAAAGATTTATTTTTTTCATTTATACAAGTGCTGAGGTACAGGCCAGATGTGCGGAAGGGTGAGAGGATTCACCAGAGACAGAGCAGGGAACAGAACAGACAAATGAAACACACTGCTGAGTGGAGCAGTGGGCGAGACAGGAGAGGCATGCCACGCCATGTGGGACTCTCGCCAGCCGGCCGGGATTGAACTGGCTCTGGGGCTGCAAAAGGCTACACAGTGTGGCACTCAACCACCTGCGCCACCAGGGAGGCCCACTAACATCATTCTTAATGGTGAAAAACTGATTGCCTTCCCATTAAGATCTGGAAAAATACAAGGATGCCTACTCTTACTACTTCCGTTCAATATAGTACTGGAAATACAAGCTAGGACAATTAGGCAAGAGAAAGACGTGACAATGATCCAAAAAGGGAAAAAGGTAAAACTGTCATTATATGTAGATGATATGATAATATATATAATAGAGAATCCTAAAAATGCCAAAGAAAAGACTAATTAAAACATAATCTACTTCAGAAAAGTAGCATACATAAAAATCAGTTACCTTCCTATATGCAAACACTCAATCTCAAGAGGAAGAAATTAAGAAAACCAACCCATTTATAATTGTACCAAAATAATTAAATACCTGGGAATAAACCAAAGTATGTGATATACCTATAGAAGGAAAACTACAAAACACTGTCAAAATAAATAGACCAAGACACAAAGAAATGGAAAGATATTCTCTGCTCATGGATTTGAAGAATCAACATTGTAAAAATGTCAATCATACTAAAGGCAATTTACAGATGTATTGCAATTCCAATAAAATTCTCCATGGTATTCTTCAAAGAAATAGAACAAAAAAATGAAATTCATATGGAAACACAAAAAACCCTGAATAGTGTAAGCTCTCCTGACAAAAAAGGAGAAAGAATGGAGGTATTACACTCCCAAGTTTCAAACAATAGTACAAAGCCATCATAATAAAAATGGCATGGTATTGAAACAAAAACAGACACATAGACCAATGAAATTGAATTAAGAGCCCAGAAATGAAACCACACATATATTGTAAACTAATCTATGAGAAATGATTAAAAAAATTTACATTGGAACAAGGAAATCCTCTTCAATAAATGAAGTTGTGAAAAACAGACTGCAACATGCAAAAGAATGAAACTAGACAACTAATTTTATCCACCCTATACAAAAATCAACTGATAATGGATACAAGACCTTAACATAAGCCCTGATATCATAAAATATATAGAAGAAAACATAGTCAAAACACTCCATGACATAAACCTCAGAAATATCTTTGAGGCTCCTTCTCCAGAAGCATGAAAAACAAAGGAGAAGATAAACATTAGGGACTACATCAAGTTCAAAAGCTTCTGTACAGCAAAGAGACAATAATCAAAACAAAGATTATTAATTCTTTCTCTTGCCTAATTTCTCCTGAATGGGAGAAAATATTTGCACACATGATGACAGAGAAGGGGCTAATATCAAAGATCTACAAATAGCTTACACAACTGAACATTAACAAAGCAAACTACCAAATCAAAAAATGGCAGTAGAGATAAAAAGACTCTTCTCCAAAGAAGAAATGCTAATGGCCAACAATCACATAAAAAAAAAAAAGTTCAACAGCACTAATTATGTGGGAAATGTAAATCAAAACCACAATGAGATAACACTTCACTCCAGTGAGAATGGCCCACATTAAAAAAAAAAAACAGAAACAACAAATCTTGGGCAGGATGTGGAGATAAAAGAACCCTCTTACATTTCTTATGGGGATGTAAATTGTTCCAGCCACTATGAAAAGCTGTGTGGAATTTACTCAAAACACTAAAAAATGGATCTACCATATAATCCAGCAATTTCACTCCTAAGAATCTACCCAAATGACAGAAAACCACTAATTCAAAAGAAAATCAGCACTGTTATGTTTAAAATTGGACTTGTTGTATTAGCCAATATGTAGCAACAACCCCAATAGCCCCAAATAGATGAATGGATCAAAAAGTTGAGGTATATTTACACAATGTAATATTATTCAGTGATCAAAAAAGACAAACTCATGCTATTTGTTACAGCTTGGATGGAGTTGGAAGGGATTATGGTAGCCATAATAAGTCAGAATGAAAAAGATAAATATCAGATGGTTTCACTTACCCGTGGAACATAGAGAAACCAAACAAAAGGTAAAAAAGTCAAAACTAGCCAGCCGACCATAGATCTGAGGCTTTTAGCAAGGGAGGGTGAAGGAGGGGTTAAAACAGGGGATGGAAGAGCACAGGAGAATGTGATGATGGTTCATGGGTGATAGGGTGGAGGAAGAACTATGGGGGTTCAACAATGTAGGAAAAATTATTAAAAAGAAAAATAAAACATAGGACCAGGTGGTTTCAGTAATGCATTCTACTAAACCTACAAGATGAACTAATACTATTTTATCCATACTCTTTAATAAATTGGACAGTGAATTCTTCCAAATACATTTTGTCAGGCCAAAAGCACTCTGATACCAAAGTAGATAAGGACATCACAAGAAAAGAAAACTATAGACCGATATACTTGATGAACATGCAAAAATCCTCAACAAAATTCTAGCTAACTGAATTCAATAATACAATAAAAGGATCATGCACCATGACCAGATGTGTTTATTCCTGGTTGCAAGATGGTTCAACATCTGCAAATCAATTAATGCAATTACCTGTCAAAAAGGAAATGTATTTCATATGTTTATAACAATAGTTGTAGAGAGAAAATTTGCCAAGATCCAATACCATTAATAATACAAATTTCAACCAAATGGTGATAAAAGGAGCATGTCTCAATATAATAAATAAGCATGCCTCATATGTAACAAACTCACAACTAACATCATGCTTAATGGTGAAAAACTGAACGTTTTCCCTCTAAGATCACATATAAGACAAGGATAACCACTGACAACTATCATTCAATATTGTATTGGAAGTCCTATTCAGAGGAATTAGGCAAGAAAAAGAATTAAAAGATACCTAAATTGGAAAGAAAAATTAAAACTATCACTATTACAGCTAATATGATAACATACACTTGAAAACCTTAAGTACTCCACTAAAAAACTATTAGAAACAAATCAATAAAGTGACCTTAAGGAAGTCATTTAATCTTGCTGAGCTCTAGTTTTCTTTTGTGTAAAATAAAGTTGCTGTGAGGATTAAACAGAATTATATATTAAAATGCTCAACTCATGTAAATAACAATGTTATGGTTCATAAAATTTATTCCCCTTCCTACTCCCTTTTATCTTTATGGGAGTAACGAATACTAGGAAAACAAGTAAGTCATAAAATAAGGTCCTTGCCCTCAAAGGAAATGGGAAAATTAAATTAAAACTTGCTAATCTAAGATTTTTTACTTTGTTCTGATTGTATACAATCTAAGAATTTCATCAAATATTGGTGGACTCAGTAGGAAGCAGGCACATGATCATTGGGGTTTTTAGTCAAAGCTAGATGACAACTCATTTGAGAAATACAAGAAGGGATTTCTAACATTTTCTGATATGAAAACACATTATGAGAGAGTAAGGAACAAAGAGGTACAAAAGTCTTGGTCTCTATTACTTTCCAATTTTTGATGTAACAAGTTACTGTCACACATTTAGTAACTTAAAATAAACCAATTTATTATCTCATAGTTCAGGAAGTCAGAAGTCTAAAATAAAAGACTTGGCATGGCTATGTTATTTCTGCAGGTTTCAGGGGAGAGTCTGTTTCCTTGCCTTATTCAACTTCTAGAGGTCACCCATATTCCTTGTCTTATAGCCTCTTTTCTTAAAATATCACAACCTCTTGTTTCTGGAATCACATCTATTACTCATTCTGATCCTGTTGCTTCCTTACCTTTCATGAAGACCCTTGAGATTACATTGATCCCACATTCATAATTTGGGATAATCTTCCTCATCTCAAGATACTTAACTTAATCACAATTGCAAAATCTCTTTTACTATGTAAAATAGAATATTCACAGGTTCAAAGGATTAGGAGGTGAACATCTTTAGTGGGATATTATTCATCCTACTGTAAGTACCATAGTTCAAGACAATCATTGGGGTCAGAAAAATAAAGATGGTATTTGCAGAGGTGGTAAATTTTGAAGGGTATTAGGATAAGAGGGGGTCATTCCTGGGTTGGAAAATGACATGAGCACAAGAAATGGGGTAGAAATCAGCTTAATTTATAGGGGATTGTTTTTTAAAAATATTTATTTATGTATGCATACAAAAACTAAGGTACAGGCCAGAGGTGTGGGGAGTGAGAGGATTCATCAGATACAGAGTGGGGAACAGAACAGGCAGATCTACTGAAATACACTGCTGAGGGGAGCAGCAGGCGAGACAGAAGAGGTCTGCTGCACCATGTGGGTAGCTACCTGGCCGGCTGGGGATCAAACTCATGCTGCAGAGACTGTGAACAGCCTTATAGTGCTATGCTTAACCTCTTGCACCACCAGGGAGGCCCTATAGGGAACTATTAAAGAGATTGATTAAATGCAGTGTGAAAGGTGCAATCAAATGGGAGAAGAAAAAGACCATATCAAAAGTCAGACCAAAGGGATCCAAATTTGGTAGAATTGCAATTGTGAGTTACTGTGAGATCCAAATAAGTCTTCAAGATACATCATGAATTCAGCATTTCAGAATGACTGGCTTAGCCATGTAGGGATGGGAGTGGGGGCCCCAAGGTGAACTAAGGTTGAATGGTTTTGTCTGCTCTGAAGCATCACTTACATCTATGTTACTTTGAGAACACCTAAAAACACATTGGTAACAATTTCCAAGGAAAGAGAAAAAGCCAGAGTAAGATAAGTTTGGTCTTTGTTTTCTTAGAGAATTAGAATAAAAAGACAACAACCAATTTGTTTTGCAAATAAAGACAATTTCTATGTGCTTAAGGCAGTTTTTAAAAAGATAGAATATATATGCTAGTCTTACCTCATTGCCACATTACTTCCATCAATGACAATTGGCCTCAAATTGTCACTGTCATCTATTTCATCTTCAAGAGACAATTCAGGGCTTGCAATCTCTCTGGAGCTGGGCCACCGAGGCACTAACAGACTCACATTGACTTGCCCTTCTGAATCACCTTTGTTCCCAAGTCTGACAAGCTCTGCCAATACGTCATTAATAAGTGATTCTGGGCCCAGTTTGTTCAGCACTGATTGAATTTGTTCCTCGGAATAACCCAGTTTTAGAGCAAAATCCATCTTAAGTTGGTATTCCTTTTCCAAGTCAGGCTTCCCATGCTGTACAATGCTGCTCTGGGAAAAACTTGGACGATCTAGACAAGGTGATCTACAGAGCTGGCGGTGTGACTTATATGGAATCTCCTTTTTCTTTAGCTGACTGTCCCCAGGGTGGAAGTTGTCATTTTTGCCACTCTTAATGCTCATAAGTTCAGGATCACTCTCAGAGCTTATCCATTCTTCAGAATCAGCATTTTCTTGCTCCCTGCTGTCTTGCCTAGGCTGCTGCCTTTCTTCCTTAGAAGAATTCTCCATTTTTTGTGCTTCCACTGCAGCTGTGGCTGTCATACCCATTTAGTGGGCAGTCTGAGGTGTAATGAGCTTTTTCTTTTTACCCTCTTTGGAATCCTTGTATAGTGGCATCCCTTTGTGGTACAATGCGGTGGTAGTGATGGTGCAAGAGTTTGCCTGTTTCATTTGGTATTTTCAGATGTTAATAGTCCCTACAAATAAACACACACACCATTATCATGTTTAGTAAAATTCAGGAAAAGAAATTTAAAATGCAGATGTTTCTTCCTAAAATCCTACAGATTGTCTGACATTTTATTTTCTTAAAATGATTGTACTCACTTTATATTGAAAATATTCTCTAATAATTCTAGACATAAAATTTCAGTGGGGGAAGTAATGCTATAATTTCTACACATACACACACAAACATACATGTACACACACTCAGTCACAGCTAGAGTTAACTGTGTATCTCAAAAACTCTGAGAAAGCGAAAAATGTCATTTTAGCAGGGTGCAAGAATATATACATCCTTGAAAGGACTGTCTGTTTTCCTTTCTATCTGGTTAAATTTTTCAGACACTATACTGGATATTTCTTGCAAAACTGAGCTCCACTCCTGAAGAGCACAAACTCTCCAACACTGCTCTGTGCAAAATAATAAGGATCCCATCTAGAGGGGGAGACTGGACAGTCATTTAAAATTGCGCTCAAGGAATTGAAGTAGACTATAAGGATAACAAATAGAAGTGTGCTCCAGATAAGAAAAGAGGTATATGTGCACTCATGAATTTTATCTTCAGCTTTTACTTATTACATTTGCTAAATAAAAGCAGAATATTGATTCAGCTTACATGAGAAACTAGAAAATTTTTAAAAGCATATTAATTACAAAGAGAATTAGGAACAATTTTATTTCTAAACATGTCCTCTTATATCTACTTCATCTGTTACCAGTGGTTTGAGTTCTAACCTGAACAAAGTGTTTCCTTTTATTTGAGCCTTGGTTTGCTCATATGTAAAATGAGGATATTGATGTCATCTCACAAGGTAAGGATTTCATTTCATGAGCTAAGATAGTACTTATCAGGGCCTCCCTGATGGCACAAAGAGTTAAGATGCAACCTGTGAATCTATCCACAGCCACTGCTGCACGAGTTTGAGGCCTGGCCAAGGAGGCACCCACATAGCACAGCAGACCTCTCCTGGCTTGCCCTCTGCTCCTCTTAGTAGCGTGTTTCAGTTGATCTGCCTGTTCTGCTCCCTGCTCTGTCCCTGGTAAATTCTCTCACCCCCTACACATCTGGCCTGTACCCCAGTCCTTGTATATATAAATAAATAAATCTTTAAAAAAAGAAAGTACCTATAAAAGTGAGCTAAGCAACACATTTAAAGTATGTGACAGATACCTCCAGGGGTTTGGTTAAAAAAAAAGAGCACTGAGGTAAGGCTGTAGACCTGTGAGCACTGACACCTCTGCTTACTAATCTAAAAGCTGTGTAACCAGCATACTTGGGTTCCCCATTGCAATTCAATTTATTTACAGAAACAATAAAAGTTATCAATAACTTTAAGAATATTATGAATAACTACATTTTTAGTTTAGGAGAGTCATATTTGAAAACATCACATGTATACAGTATTGATATCTCAGAACTGAAATTCAGACAGCATGAGTTCTCTAATGATTATATTACTTATCTGTGACTTCAGAATTTTCCCATAATGAATTAGCCAACACATAAATACCCATTTTACTTTTACTTCTCCACAAATCTTTGTTATTTGATTTGTAAAGCCTACTTCCATATTGAGGAAATTGCTGGCCTGCCTGCAAGGCTGTTGGAGGCTGACAACCCCATACCAACTATCCAGAAATGAGTGAAGGCAGAGGGAGGGCTCCACAAACAAGGGTGAACAACTAGTCCCAGGAAATTGCAGGTCTGCCTACAAGGCTATTGGAGCCCAACAACCCTGTGCCCCACTTACAGAACAGAGTAAAGACAGAGGAAGGGCTCCACAATAAACTTGAACAGCCATTCCCAGGAAAGCACAGGCCTGCCTGCAAGGCTGTTGGAGGCTGGTTTCACTCACCCCACTTTTGGAACTGAGTAAAAGCAGAGGGAGGGCTCTGCAATCAACAATCAACAATGAGCAGCCAGTCTCATGAAAGCATGTTCTTGGCTGTTAGAGGCTAGCAACCCTGCATCCTGTTCTGGAACTGCGTGAAGGCAGAGGGATTGTTCAACAAACAAAGGCGAGCAGCTTGTCTCAGGAAATTGCAGGTCTGCCTGCAAGTCTGTTAGAGGCCAGCAATTCCATGGCCCCATTTGGAACTGATTAAACAGAGGGAGGGCTCTGCAATTAATAGTGAACAGCCAGTCCCAGGAAATCATGAATCTACCGACAAGGTTGTTTGAGCTGAGCAGCCCTGAGCCCTGCTTCTGGAACTGAGTGAAGGCAGAGGAAGAGCTCTGCAAACAAAGGTGAGCAGCTATCCCAGGCCTGCCTGAAAGGCTGTTGGAGACAGGCAGCCCCATGTCCTCCTTCTGGAACTGAGTAAAGGCAGAGGGAGTGTTCCATAAACAAAGGTGAGCAGCCAGTCCCAGGAAAGCTTGGGCTGGTCTGCAAGGCTGTTGGAGACTAGAAACCAACCCAGCATCCCTTCTAGAACTGAGTAAAGGCAGAGGGAGGGCCCACAAAGGCAGGGCCAATTTCGGGGAAGAACCTGCTGGCTCACGGGACTAATGGAGACCAGTGACCCCCAAGCACCCATTCTGGAACAAGTAAAGGTGGATTGGAAGAATCAACATTATTAAAATGGCCATCCTCCCAAAAGCAATATATACATTCAATGTTATTCCAATAAAAATTCCAAGGACATTCTTCAAAGAAATAGAACAAATACTGATGAAATTCATATGGAACCACGAAAAACTATGAATAGCCAAAGCCCTACTGATGAAAACAATGGAGAAAGGGAGGCGAATCAACATGGTGGCGAGGAGACGCTGCGAGTAAGATCTCCCATTAAAAAAAGTTAATAGGGAGGAAAAGTGGCAGGTCCCAGTGAGAACTGGGACACGGAAGATAAACTGGTGGCTCCAGCAAACTACCCGAAGAAGAAAGTTGCCATAAAAGAGGACTAGAAGGGAGGAAAGCTCAGAACCCTGCTACCCTCCCCCACCCACAAAGTCGGCATTCTCCGACCAACAGAAAGGAGGAAAAAACAAACGAAAACGACCAACAAGAACAAACTACGCATCAAGCAGGACTGTGAGTGGAAAGGAACTATTTCGGCCACCACACCCCGTGAACTGGAGCTGTGGAGAACCCTACAGGATTCGCCGTGGAAGTGAGCCATCGGCTCCAGGCGCCATTAGAGAACAACAGAGACCCCCGGAGACCTGCACACAGCCTTGGGCCAGCCGGTAAGCTTGCACGGACAAGCGGTGCACTTGAAAAGCAAATGCAGATCATGGCTGCCCAGGTACCCGCACCTGCGACCTAGGCTTGAGGGGAGAATGCGGGGGCCCTCACTGAGGTGAAAGTCGCTCACTGAGTAAACAGGAACCAGGCACTCAGGCACGGGAGCGGGGTGCAAAGGCGCCATTTCTGCGAACACTGAACTGGGCTACAGCCCGCGTCCTGGACCTGAGGGCTTTGGAACTGAGGCCAGGGGCATGAAATTCGGGGTGTGGGTTCTCCACGATGGTGGGGCACAAGGCAGAAACAGCACCCCAAAGCCGTTGAGGTTTACCCTACCATTCCACTCTGTTCCCTGTCCCACGGGGTGAAAAAAACAGCTCCCCAAGGACACTAGGAGAGATCTCTGGCGCCACCTAGCGAACAGAAAAAAAAGTCACTAACACCCCATAGAACAGGGACCTTTCTGCAGAAAAGACTGCTTGAAACCAGCAGAAGGCTCCTGGAGGAGCCAGTGGCGAGCTGGGAAGTTAGCCTACACCAGGCCCCTTCCGATCAGCAGTCTGAGCCCACAGGGGGAGCGGGCACCCACGGCTGGGGCAGACCTGGTGTGCAGAAGAGTGTGCCTGAGACCAGATGTGCAGGGAGTGCGTCCTGCATCGCCATTTTAGAACAGGGACATTTCTACAGTAAAGACTGCCTGAAACCAGCAAAAGGCTCCTGGAGGAGCCATAGGTGAGCGGGGAAGTTCGCCCATGCCAAGCCCCTTCTGGCCTGCAGTCCAAGCCCAGAGAGGGAGCGGGAACCCACCGCTGAGGCAGACCAGGCACACAGGGGAGTGTGTCCCCACATTGGCATTTTAGAACAGGGACCTTTCTTCAGTAAAGACTGCTTGAAACCGACAGATGGCTCCCGGAGGAGCCAGAGGGGAGCGGAGAAGTTCATCCAAGATGCCGGCCAGTCCCAGCAACACAGTGTCACAATGCATATGACAAATTAGAAAACAGACAGTAGGGAGTAGAAGAACCACAGACAACCTAACAACTCCTCAGGAAAAAAGCACACCACAAAAATAAAACTACCCCGCAGATTGCAACAACAGTAACCTGAGAACTTTTGTGCCTTCCAGAAAGAGACTTTAAAATTGCCATGAATTCCTTCTGCCTGCTCTGCTCCCCACTCTGGCTCTGGTGAATTCCAAACAAACAAATAATAAAAAATAAATAAATAAGACATGCCTCTAGAAAATTAAAAAAAATAAAATAAAATAAAATAATATTGCCATGATTAAAAAAGTGACAGAACTCATAAAGGAAAACGATGAGAAAAATAATCAACGATCAGAAGAATAAAATTGAGTCCCTAAAGGGGGAAGCAAAAGAAATACAGGAGATCAAAGAATTAATGGAGGAACTAAAGAACTCTGGGAAAAGCAATGAAAGCAGAATAGATGAAATGAAAGAATGAATAAGCACTCTTGAAGACACAGAAATAAAAAGAACCAAAAAAGAAAAGGAAGGAGAAGTACGAAGGAAAAAGATTGAAGAAAGACTTGGGGAACTATCTGACTCCATGAGGAAAGAAATAAAAGAGTTATAGGAATCCCAGAAGGAGAGGAGAGAGATGTAGGAACATAGAAAATATTCAAAGAGATAATTGAAGAGAACTTCCCAAATGTGAAGAAGGAGCTGAAAATTGATATACAAGAAGTAAGAAGAACACCAAACTTCCACGACAAAAGGAAAAATACAGCAAGACACATAATAGTAAAGCTCCCAAGAAT